TAACTTCCACAGCTATGATATTTCCATCAGTTACTTATAAATGTGCCTATATATAGTTAGAAATTTTAATGAGTCAAGTGTGAATAAAAGAGTGGAAGTGAGGTGGCAAAAAGCCAAATATTGATGCTTATGCTCCTGGGCTAACAACTTTTCGTTTTTCATAGTTCACTGTCCCCTGAGTATCTCAACGCCTTGATTTCTCAGTGGGGCTCATTATCCCAGATAGGAAATTCTGAAGAGCATCAAACCTTCCAGGTATTCTCTCCACTTTTCATGAGAAAATATTAGGCTAAGAGAGAGAAGACAAGCTAATAATTTGATCTAATTATAAGAACTAACACTCAGAGGAATAGCTTATCTGACTGTCAGGAAGAATTCTAAAATTAACATTGATCAATTTGGACTTTCTATCTACATATTTCAACATCTCTATTAATAGGAACAAACTATATAATTTGGTTATAAATTAAGGGAGATGATATTATCACTGTCTCTAGCTAACATATTCCATGCCCACCAGTACAAATATGGTGGATGGTGGTTATAATATATAACTTTAGCAATGTTTATGTTTATAATACAATACATTACATAGTAATGTCCAGATACTATTTGGAACAGTCAGCCCAGCCTGGCTTTTCCCTGATCTAGCTCACATGAGGTCCACAGATGTTGTAGCCCTTCCTGGCCTGGTCTGCCCCCATTCCAACTCATGCTCTACAGTGGGAATGGTGGTCTAGTAGGGGAGCCCTCCACATTCCACCTACCTGCTTTGTCTCCTTCCCCCCGGCCCATTCTCACACGTGCTGATTGGGCCCTGCAGCCCAGTCTGGCATGGCCCCCCCTCACCTCTGCATTTCCAGTGGGTACTCAGCCTGGCCCAGCCCGGTTCACCCCCAATTCCAGCTCATGCTAGTTGGGGTTACAGCCAATCCCAACCCAGTTGGCACCCAGTTCCAGCCCTATGTGTACTAGTAAACATTGTGACCAAGTGCAGTCCAACCCACACACTATTCTGGCGCTAAGATTCGTCAGTGGGTGATGTGAACTGGTTCAGCCTGGTCCACCCCCAAACTGCGTCGAAAGGCAGACTTTTTTTTTTTTTTTTTTTTAACCAAGAGGAGAAGCAGAGAGAAAGATCTTCCATCTGCTGATTCACTCCCCAAGTGGCTGCAACAGCTGGAGCTGAGCCTTCTGAAACCAGGAATTAGGAACTTCTTTCGGGTCTCCCATGCAGGTGTAGGGGTGAAAAGGCCATCTTCTACTGCTTTCCCAAGCTGCAAGCAGGAAGCTAGATGGGGAATAGAACAACCAGGATATGAACCAGCACCCATATGGAATGCCAGCACTTGCAGATGGAGGATTAGCCAATTGAGCCACCATGCTGGTTCCACTATTTTTGCTTCTACGCTTAAATGAATGTCAGTGTCAAAATCAACCTTTTTAGACTTGCCCTCCTTCTCTCAATATATCTACCTTAAATGGAAAACATTCAGATTAGGATTTATTGTTATGGATACATCATTATGGCTTAAAATTGCCTAGAAATGAGTCTTAACAAAATGGTGCAGACATTTAGATGGTGACATATATTCACAATTCACCAGGTGGATAGTGGAGTATGTGTAACACAAGGGGAAACTGAGGCACTTATCTGTGCTCATCCAATCTCTCCTTGGTGCCTGGTTCCGTTCTGGACTGAGCAGGGAGTGGCCTCTTTCCACACCTGATGCTCAGTGCTGACTACGTTCAATTCTCTTTCCCTCTGAGTAAAGCTGCAGTGTGTGTGCACATGCATGTGTTGGGAGGAGTAGCATTTCCTCTGAGACCACACTCCCTCAGCCCTTGTTACAGATAATTAATTCAGGGAATTTTGGAAGTAGAAATTTTACTCCACAGGGTGACATGGAAAAGCATAAGTCTAGTCGTGGAGCAATTCTGAAACCTATAAGTAGTTCTTCTTTCCCAACCTTGAGCCAAGTTTCTCAACTTGCTCAGTGCACATCAGAGGTCCCATCCGCTCTCCCCTCCTCTGGAGGTTTAGATGGGCTTCTCCAATGGACCTACAAGTCACACCCAGAGGATGTGACTGTCATGTGCTCTTCAACAGTTTTCGCTCCTGCGGATTCTGCTCTGTTAGGACCTATTGCCCGTGCTTTGTCCTTTCTTATGGTCTCCTAAATGCCCTCTTTCTCTTTTCCTTATCTACCTTCAGGTTGCCCCACTTGGATTTCCAAGCGAAGTACCAAGACAGAGAAGGAGTCATGAAGATGGCATTTCCAATTTTGCAGCCAAATTTGGTAAGCTGATACTCTTGTGTATGAAAAAATGTGACTGAGCTGTCTAAACTCACCCATGATCTGTTTCCTTAGACACTTAGACAATTGTCCAAATCACGGACAATTTAACAAGACTCCACAGTCTATAAATGCTGTAGTTAAATAATTAATGTGTCACTGTATTTAGCATATAAAGACAGACACACTTCCATGTTTCAGAAACATTCTCGGCACACAGAGGAAGTAGTTATCGGCTTTGTAAAGTCCAGAAGCAGGAGCTGCAGGGATCACAAAGGGAAACCTTGGAGATGACGAGTAGCAAGCTGAGAAGAAAGGCAGCCAGTGAGTAGATGACCCATGCTCCTGAAACATTCGAATCAGAGTGAAAGTTCTGGAGGAGAATGTTCACCCAGTGATTCAAGAGGCAAGACAGAAAGGAAAAGATCTTGGTTTGTGCTCTGTGTATAGTGGGGGACAGTCACAACCGAGTGTGGCCACCTGAGCTGAGATGCTGTTAACCACAACCTCCAGCACTTCCATGCAAACTGTTTGGCACAAGCATGGCACACTCTGGAAGTCCATGTGTCCGCTGCCCTTGGTGCTAACATTGTGGTAGGCAGTGTCCCCCTGTGCTTCTTATTTGCTAAATTAGAAATTGTATTCGTTTGTTTTGTTTACACTTTTTTGCCAATAGGAACAAGGACAGCACCACAAATCAAGATATGGTCATAGTCTCAGTTTTACAACTTATTCAGCTTCTCTGTATGCAGACCTAATGTGGTTACTGTGTGTGCTGTCCAATCCACAGGGAGAGCTCTGATGACAGCGGGTGATCTTTGCAGTGAAACCGCAGGGCATGCACTAATTGTCTGGACAGGCTGCTCCTTCACTCCTGCAGACTCAGTGCTTGATGTGAGAAGTTCAGCAACCAAAGTCCTGACCTCCAGGGGCTGCTTTTAGGGTGAAGTGGAGCACACTGCCTCAAGCAGCTACCATTAATGCCTCACTCCTAGGAACAGAATGTTAGTGATGCTGACTTCCGGATAATTTGTAGCTCATGCTTTCATTTCCTCTTTTATAGTAGGAGGTATTGAAATTGTACAGAAATAAAGACAACGAGGAACTGCATACATGCTACCATGCAAAATACCTGTTCCTTTATGGTCATGCTTCCTTTCAGCTACTTTTGTTTTTAAAGAAATAAAGCATTGTAAGTATAGAGGAAGTTCACTCCTCTGATCCCAACTTCCACTCCTGTTACCATCCAATGGGCGTCCACCCTTCTAGTTCACTTACAAATGCACACTTACATGCTCTTAAGCATCATACAGTTGCAGGTTTTTCCTCTCACAAGAGGTGGTGGGAAAGCTGGCTTCATTGTAAGTACCAGCCCTGGGCTTTTACACGAGAAGCTCTCTGGCTGCTTTGGTATATTATTCTCACCCACACAGAAACTGGTTGAAGCCCTCGAAGTGATGAGTTTGGCAATCCTTTAATTTCTAATCATGCCAAAGTTTTAGTTCAAAGTCTTCAAGCCGTTTCCGGAGACTGTACCACATACTTTAGTTGTGAGTCTCAACTTCATTACTTTTTATTAATGACTTACTTTTATTAATTAATTACTTATTCATATGAATTAACATGAATAAGTGTAGCTCTGCCTTTGGTTAACTTTCATTATACAGTGCATCTATCCTAGAATCAGTCCCAAAGAATTGAAAATGTTGAGTATTTTACTAGATGCAAAGTCTCTTGGTTCTATGGGATCATAAAAACCATAAATAAAGCGGTCATCCTAGGATTACTAACAGTAGAGCTCTCTTTAAGAATAAAATATTATTGAGGGAGGAGAAAGAAGAGTGCTGAACTCTAATCCATTGAGATTTAGTCTGGGATTTGTTTTTCTTTCCTTCTTTAAAAGATCTATTTATTTTTATTTGAAAGGCAGATATACAGACAGGAAGAGATACAGAGAGGAAGATCTTCCATCTGTTGATTCACCACTCCCCAAGTGGCTACAACAGCTGGAGCTGAGCCGATCCGAAGCCAAGAGCCAGGAACCTCTTCTGGGTCTCCCATGCAAGTGCAGAGTCCTAAGGTTTTGGGCCATCCTCGACTGTTTTCCCAGGCCACAAGCAGGGAGCTGGATGGGAAGCAGGGCCCATATGGGATCCTGGTGTGTTCTAGGCAAGGACTTAAAGTGCTAGGCCATTGCGCGAGGGCCCTGGGAATTGTTTTGTTCCTGTCTGTTCCATCTTTATATTGAAACATTCCCAACTTTAGAAATGGCACATAGTCTTAGGGTTAAGACACACGTTGGCAGTGTGAAAGAAGTCTCTTCCTGGGCTGGGCTTCTCTGTCGTCTCTGACACCTGCCTCTCAGGACCAACCTCCAGTGAGTGAATGGAAATGATGGGATCAGAGGAGTGGATACAAGGAGCAAGGAGATAATCATCTTCCAAAAATATTGTTCAGTCGCTAAGTTCCCAGTTGGGTTTGAACTTGATTCTGGGCTTCCCAGTGTGGATGACATATTCTCTGAAGTGGGATTTTAACTCTCCAAACACTGTGCTTCTCAGACCGCATGACGATTTAATCAGTAGTCATTGACATTTTGGATCAAGCATCCGGTATTCACAAGGAAGCTTCCCTCCACTCTGATGGAGTTATTTGTGCCCTTCAGGGATGCTCATCTCTCTCTCCACAGGTACCACATGCTCATTGCTGATGGGGAGCACCAACACATCCTCCTTCGAGGGCTTCATCCTGGTGGGCTTCTCTGACCGCCCCCGCCTGGAGCTCATCATCTTTATGGTGGTCCTCACCTTCTACCTGCTGACCCTCCTGGGCAACATGGCTATCATCTTGCTTTCAGCTCTGGACTCCCGGCTGCACACACCCATGTATTTCTTTCTGGCCAATCTCTCCTTCCTGGACATGTGCTTCACCACAGGTTCCATCCCTCAGATGCTCTACAACTTGTGGGGCCCAGACAAGACCATCAGCTACGTGGGCTGTGCCATCCAGCTCTACTTCGTGCTGGCCCTGGGAGGTGTGGAGTGTGTCCTGCTGGCTGTCATGGCCTATGACCGCTATGTTGCTGTCTGCAAGCCCCTTCACTACACGGTCATCATGCACTGGCGCCTCTGTGGGCAGCTGGCTTCGGTGGCCTGGTTGAGCGGCTTCGGCAATTCTCTCATCATGGCACCCCAGACGTTGATGCTGCCTCGCTGTGGGCATAGGCGTGTGGACCACTTTCTCTGTGAGATGCCAGCACTCATTGGTATGGCTTGTGTGGATACCATGGCCCTTGAGGCACTGGCTTTTGCCTTGGCAATCTTCATCATCCTGCTGCCACTCATCCTCATCCTCATCTCCTACGGTTACATTGCACGAGCAGTGCTCAGGATCAAGTCGGCCGCTGGGCGAAAGAAAGCCTTCAACACCTGTAGTTCCCACCTCATTGTTGTCTCTCTCTTCTATGGTACAATTATCTATATGTACCTCCAACCAGCAAACACATATTCCCAGGACCAGGGCAAATTCCTTACTCTTTTTTACACAATTGTCACCCCCAGTGTTAACCCCCTGATCTATACGCTGAGGAACAAAGATGTCAAAGAGGCCATGAAGAAGGTGCTAGGGCAGCAGAGTGCCAAAGCACAGGAATGAGTGGTCAGATGTGGGCTTGCCTTTTGTCCCATCTTCCATACATGTTAGACCCAGCACAAAGAAGAATGTTCTGGCATTGTAGAGCCAAGAGGCACGTCGAGACAAGGGGAATTCAGGTTGAGAAAATGCTACATTCCTAAGTGACAATCACTTCTGTTCTCTGAGATCCCTCTAAGTCAAACATTCATCGCCAGGCTCCAAACCAGGCTAAAATTGTGCATCCGGAACACCAGCCGTGAAGGTGAACATCAAATGCCATTGTTCCCGTGCCGGATCCTGTCACCATCATTGATATTCAGTAGGTCGTCAATGGATATAAAAAGGATGGCCTTACAAACAGTGTAGGAAAAGTACTTATTTATTCTAGAAGATTGAAAAGTGCCTTTATCGTGCCAAAAGCCTGAACGAGAGACAAACTGTTTAACTAGTTGACGTCAGTACTTCAGTTTTATAACTGACTTGCACATTCCGGGTATTTTTGACTAATCTGTAAAGCAAGCTAAGTAAGTGGGAGGCAGGTTTAACTGCGTGGAAGAGCAAGGAGATGCAGCAAAATCACGAGGGATTTGCTTTGCGTGGAACACGCTCTTGATGTTTGTAAGACAAGGCTAAGGTTTGGAGCTCATTGTCGCTGTACTCTTTCTGTATGTTGTCAGGGTTGTCTTGAATCAGCAGAGAGAAATGATCCAAAGGCTGAGAGCCTATCAGAATCCTTGCGGTTGGAATGAATCCTTGTTCTCACAACCTCAGCAACGGCGGCCTCTCCCAAGCGCTGACTGAAAGTGGATGGTGGGTGAAATGTCTGGTCCACCTCGGGCCTCAGATACAACATGCTGTCGTCTAAGTGAGTCCCATCGCATCACTCAAGGAGATAGTATACTAGGGTATTTTGTGAGTAAACGAGGATTCCGGAGTTCAGATTCCAGACATGCAAGACTGTTCAAAATTTAGGGACTTGCAGTTCAGAATTTCCCACATTTCCTGCTGGAAAACAATTTGTAATATGTACTTGTCATGAAAATATACTGCTCATTTCTAAATAAAGGAAAGTCTCACTACTACAATTCCTCTAGAAAACAATGGTAGCAGTAATTTTTATTTTATCTGTTTACCGTTTGGATACTCTTTTAGAATGAAGAAAAAATGGTATAAAATTTATATCGATACCTTGATTTTGGAAATCCCTATACAAGTTGCTGAGCAATTCTCTTCAAAATACGATTTTTTTTCCTGCAAATATTCATTTCATTACATTCTTCTGTAAAAATGTAGGTGATGAGAATAATGAATGTCAAGGTGAAACTGTCCATTGAAACGTGATGACCTGGACAGCAGGCAACTGCCTGGGTTGCCTTGTTCCTAGGTAAGTGTCACACTGCTGTGGGAAAAGCAGCCAGTGGCTGGCAAGCATCCTGGGTCTGGTTAATGCCAAATGTGTGTTAACTATACCAGTGTGCTGACATAGTTACTTATTCTCTCTTTATTATTGTTATTTTTTAAGGATATGTGGGGAAGGCAGGCAATGCCAGGCCAGGACACTTCCCCCCAGGTGGGAGGCGAGCCAGGACTACAGATTGCTTGGGGTAGGAGTCTGGGGATCCAGAGCCAGGAACTTCCTCCATGTCTCCCGTGCAGCTGCAGGGTCCCAAGGCTTTGGGCCATGCTCGACTGCTTTCCCAGGCCACAAGCAGGGAGCTGGATGGGAAGTGGAACTGCCGGGATTAGAACCGACGCCCAGAAGGGATCTCGGCGTGTTCAAGGCGAGGACTTCAGCTGTTAGGCCACCACTCCGGGGCCAGGATCATCTTTTAATCCTACAAAAAAGTGGTTTATGAAGTTTAGTTTATTCACTTAGATATATAGTTGGATGAATCAAATATATTAATTTTTATTAGTTTATTTTTTATAATGATTACATGATTGATCAGGATGGGAAGGATCAAGGTTTAGGGAAAACTGAGTGAGTTTGTAGTCTCCAATTTTGCTATTTTTTTTTTCTTATTGCTTCTGAAGAAGGAGAGAGACCAAGCAGAAAGCCACACACGACTTTCCAAATGTCCCAGCACCCTGGGCTGAGGAATAGCCATCTCAATCAACTCAGGGTCTCAATGTGTACGTATTCCGAGGGTTTTGCCCAAGTGGTTTGGATAGTTCTGGAATGCTGTTGATTTCACCAATCTAAGGCGCATGAAGTCCTCCTAATGTCCATTGGCTGATACAGTCAACCTCAAGTCTCTATTCACTGAGATGTTTTGCTGTCATTTTGCTGGGGCAGCTGTCCAATTTGTTCTGTTTGCCTTCTTCTACTGCGACACTAAATGAGCTGCCATATTCTCTTTTTACAACAGGGCCTGTGTCCACTGCTCTTGCAGGGGAGCCCAAGGACCTGGGCCAGGGGACTCAAGCCCCACCAGATCTCCAGCCCCTGAGGTTCATAAACTTGGTACCCACCTCACAGGCAGGCTCCAGGACCCAGGCTAGGTGACCTGAATCCTGCCAGATCTCCCACCCCCAGGGCTCACAAAGCCAACACTCACCTGGAAGGCAGGCCCCAGGACCTGGGCCAGACCACCCAAGCCCCACTGCATCCCCTATCCTCGGGGCTCGTGAATCTGGCCCACACCATGCAGGTGGACCTGAGCCAAGCTACAGCCCTGTCAGATCCCCCTGTCCCTGGGACTCACAAACCTGGCCCCCTCTGGACCCTGGCTTCCACAATCTTTTTTTTTTTTTTTTAAAGATTAACTTGTCTTTATTGGAAAGGCAGATGTATATATAGAGGAGGAGAGGGAGAGGAAAAATCTCCTGTCCAATGATTCACTCCCTAAGCGGTCGCAATGACTGGAGCTGAGCCAATCCTAATCTAGGAGTCAGGAGCTTCCTCCAGATCTCCCACATGGGTGCAGGGTCCCAATTTCCCATTTCGCTTTCTTGATGCATGATATAACAGCTCTGATGACAATTTCCACCTATTTGAATATTTTGCTTCTAATTCATTAGTTTGACAAATACATACTGAGTGCCTCCTGTGTTTCAGGCTTTGTTCTAGGTACTCGTAACAAAATACACAAACATTTAACCACAGCGTAAATTGTCCTTGTGTTGAACTTGCATTCCAGGTGAAGATATAGAAAAGTGATAAAAGATTCTAAACCATCACTGCTGTCATATCTTTATAGGTTTTTGGAAGAGATGGAGGACAGGGAAGGGTGGTAGGGGAAACAGGTTGTGATTTGAAACGGAGGTGGTCAGCACGGACTTCAACGGAACTGCCAGCAGAGGGAGCAGTGAGCACCAGGTTCGAGTCCCGAGGGTAAGGCTCTACCTTGCCTGGAGGTGCTTCCCTGGGGCCTCCTGCAGGGAAAGCGCAGGAAGCAGCAAGAAGCAGCTAGCTGTCTAACAGGCAAGGCAGGAATAGACCATCAGGAATGTGGACAACACTGACAAAACTGCCAACAGTGACTGCAAAATCCCAATTGGAGTGTCTGAGAGAGAAGGGGAGAACCTGAAATGGAGTGTACAAAGTTGTGTCTCCTCAAGGGTTAACCGCAAGGAGGAGCTGAGAAATAGGATATTGGGAAGGCTTAGGGCAAGCAGGTTTTCCATAAGCAGACCCTAAAGAGAACTGAGAGCTGGGTTATTCCTCTTGTCTTCCCTAGGAGACCAGAGTCCGGCACCAGCCACCCTCTGTGCTGCTTGGGTGCACCCTCTTGTTTGTATTCTTGGGAGAGCTTCTCTGAGAGTCCACAGGGCTCCTCTTCCTGGAGAAAGTGTGCAAGGGGCCCGGTGCAGTGAGCTGCAGCTTCTGTTACTGGTGCCACAGCTGCTGGTTCTCACACAACTTTCCAAGTACTTTGGTCCAGTGAAATTTCACAACAACTGGTCCAGGACGCCCTCACCTACGGTTGGTCTTGGTGTCTCTGATTTGTGTTGTTGCTCAGACCTTGATGCCTTTGAGGTCTCAGCCACATCAACACCTGTGTCATCAGGCCAGCGACTAGGGAGCCTGAGTTCGAAGGCGCCAAGTGTCCAAGTTTATGTCACTAACAAACCTAACTTGTATGTGTCTTATCACATTCCCTCACGATATCTCCCTGAATGTTGGGCAATTTTAAATATTCTCAAACAGATTTGCTATTCTGAGTTGAATATTCATATTAATTAGACATTTTTCCTTTTGTGTTATTGTATTCTTGGATTTTACAAAATTTTTCTCTGTTGGGTGCTCTTAGATTTAAATTTAGACTAAAGATTGGTTTGGTATTTGCATTTTACGGCATAAGATATTAAATAAAATATACCTATAACACTTTGGATTTCACTAAAAACTATGCATTACCTAATTTGAGCTGTTTTATTGGGGTATTGTCGTAGATGCATCAATCAATATCAGAAAAATATTAGTACCTTAGGAAGTCTTATCTTTTTAAAATCTTTTTAATTTTTTTGTAACAATGCATTTTCTTTCTTTTTTTTAAAAAAAATATATATTTAAATTATAAAGATGGAAATACAGAGACAGAAGATACAGCGAGAAAGATCTGTCCACTCCTCAAGAGTCCCCAATGGCTAGAGCTGAACTGATCTGAAGCCAGGAGCCCTGAGCTTCTTCCGGGTCTACCACATGGGTACAGGGTCCCAAGGCTTTGGGCCATCATCTGCTACTTTCCCAGGCAACAAGCAGATAGTTGGGTGGGAAATGGAGCAGCCAGGATTAGAACCAGCACCCATATTACAAACCCAGCAGATGCAAGGCAAGAATTTAGCCACTAGGCTATCACATTGGACCCAATTATGTACTTTTATTCCTATTTCTAATTTAAGTAAAATGAGTGTATTTCATAGTTTTCACAATATAGATTTATCTCATGATTTTTAAGGTTACTTGTGATTTTATTAGGGATTGCGCCCGTGTGGAGAGCTTTGTCACCATAACAATATCAAATATTCTAACAGCGAATAAAAGATGCCTTTCCATCATTCGGAGCTTTCATTTCTTC